TATTTGCTGAAATCCTTTATTCATCCATGTGCTTATTTAAAACACTATATAAATAAATAAGCAGGCTGTGTCATAGTACAGTGTATCTTAAATAAATGATCTATTTTGCCATGTGTTGATGATTAATGAAGGGCTGTTTCTGGCAAACTAATCAACTGTAGCTCCAGGCATGGGACAGCATAAGTTTCCAAAAAAATAGTAACAGCTCCCCTTATACATGCGTCAGACAGCCGCCATACATTGCAGTTTCCATGAAAAAACAGGAATTTGGACTAGGATGAGTTGATTTTTACTTTACAGCTTAGAGCTTACAGCTCACATAAATTGTGCACACATTCCTCACCGGCACAGGCCTCCCTCATATAAAAACAGATGCGGCCTTGTGCTCCTGCGGCTCATACAGTGTGGCAGTGTCAAGACTGAAAAACATATCCCGCAGCGGTTGGAAAGGAGGCCTCCTCGCCTCACCCGCTCTGCCCCTCTCGCCGCCTCCCCGGCCCACTGTGGCAGTGCATGCGTTGCAGCTGTGCGCGGCTGCCTCTTGCTTAACCCTCGGCGCTTTCACTTTGGGAAAAAACCCGAGAGCGTAGTAGCGCCGCTGGCAGGTAACAGCCCCCTTTCACGTGGATGTTTTTCTAGCCTTGTCTAGATGCCACAGGTTGTGCTGTTAGGGTGCTCCGGGACTTGGCCGGCAGGGAGAAAGGCTGCCTTGCCACGGCTGTGACGCCAGCTCAGGTTGAACGTCCTGAGAGGGATGGGAGATGCAGGGAGCTGGCTCTTCCCCAGCGAGCACATGAGTACGCTCAGCCCGGGGGGGCTTTCGGGAGTGCAGGAGCCAGGGCTGGGGGGAGGCCGGCGCTCTGCGCAGCCGGCTGGCAGCCAAGTCGCAGAAGTGGTGGAAAGAAAGAGACATTCCATAGGCTGAAAGCGGCGGGCTGAGTGTCCAGCTCGGGAAGGCAATGAAAGGTGCTGGACTGACACTGCTTGGAAAGGAGGGAGAGTTGCTCTTCAACTTCTTTTTTGGATGTCTCATTCAGTACACCTGATTTTCTCCTATTTCTGTGTAATTTTTCTCTGGTTCATTGGCTTTTGTGTTCTAACCCTGCAGAGGGGCAGCGGCCACAAAACATCAGGGAGATCAGAGGGGTCATGGGTGGTTTTGGGCATCATAAGCTCTTCCGGTTCAGCTATCACAGAAGCTGCAAACGCAGCCTTGGGGCTAGCGCCGATAGCAGTACGGCTCTGCAGCACTGCCGCTGTGTTCTCCGTTCAGTACGCTTCAAGAAAGAGGTGTGTGACAGAAGAGAACTGCAAGTGGCAAGGTTAGTCAAAAAGAAAGCAGAAAGTGAACCAAATAAAGGTAAAAATACTTGGCTAGGTTGCTGACTGTTCAAAGGAAAACCAGAGCTAGGGAGCTGCACAGCTACTGTGGCCTTCCTATACAGTGATGAAAAACCACTCTGGACACTTTGATCTCTTCTGATGTAACCAGTTTACCTATCTGGCTCGGCATTATGTTTTCTTCACAAGACAATGCTGTTACTCCAGTGGCATCACCTGCTCAGTCCCAGAGATCTGCCCTGTAGGGTCCCCAGTCCAGACAGACACTGGCACACCAGAGCAAGGGCAGATGGGGGCCACCACAACCATTAAAGGGCGGGAGCACACGACGTGTGGAGATGCTGCGAGAACTGCTTTGCTCAGTCGCAAGAAGAGAAGGCTGGGGCTGGAGGAGACCTTGCTGCTGGCTGTAACTGATCAGAGGATACAGAGGAGAAGACAGGGCCAGACTTTCCTCAGAGGACAAGCAGCATATGTAAAGTTCTGATTACATACAAGGAAACTTTTTTAATCAGGAGTCTGGTCAGACACTCCAACAGGATCCCAGAGAGGCTGTGCAATCTTCAGCCCTAGAGATATTTAGAACTCAGCTAGCAAAGCCCTGACCCACCCGGTCTAGCTGGATCCATTGAGAGCAAAACCAGGATTCAACGATCTCTAGAGGCCCCTTCTCAGCTAATTTACTCTGCACCTCTATGACCTAACCCATTATCTTCTATAATTTCCACAACCCCTCTTCTAATATTGGTATCTTCAGTTAAAACAAGGAACAGTTGCTCATTAAACAGCTTCTTGTGTTCTTGGTAAAAACAGCCTCTACAAACTCCTTTTTAACTGTTGTCATTTTTTTATCTCTTGTTGCAGACAAGCTGTCTTGAAATATACAGCCCAACTGGAGAAACCAGAACACAATGATGCTGACCCTCCTTCATGGTTTGGGTATGACCGGGATGGTAACACACCTTCACCAAAAAACCCCACATCAGAGCCTGAATAAACAAATGCTTCAAAATGAGAGATGAAGAAATTGCGTAACAACCTCTACAGTTCAAAGTTTTTTTCACCGGAGCATGAAAAGAACACTGTATTATTTTTCTTCAAACTAAGCATACTATAATAATAAAAGGCCATTTGTTGAATTAGCAAGGAAGCACTGTGAACCTCTCTCGCAGGAGTGTGCACGCCTCCAGCAAGACGGCTGCGCTGAAACAACATCGCTAACGTTCAGATGTGGCGTCGAGCCGTCTTCATCCTTCAATAACCAGAAGTGTTCCTAGTCCCATGCAGAGTAAGCAATAAATAAATCCATGTGCTTGGGGTCCTTGGTTGCCACGAAGGTCCTCTCCAGGCCATAAACACTCTGACTCCCCACAGAACTTCACCCTTGACACGGCTGGTACTCATCAGGTACAGTGCTCTTGAGCAATGAAGAGCTACTACCGATTCCTTAATGCACAGCTCTACGCGAACATTGAAGCACAGTTCTCAGCTTCTCAACAGTCACTTGTGCCCCCAGAGCCCCAGTTCTCATAAAAGCCTCTCAGGCTGAGTTCAACTCTCCAAGTGAGGCGATGTTTACATTTGCAGATCTGAACTGCAGGCTGGCTGGCAGTGGACAGAGTCAGGAGAATCGAATGAGAAGCAGCACAGATGAGAAAAGTGTTAAAGGGTAAATTTTCTCTTTACAAGAATGTGTCTTCTCATCAAATGGAAAAAAAAAAAAAAAAGAGCATACAGGGGATTTGCCATTCAGATCTTAATTACTGGTAACCCACTACTCTTTCCTTGTCTAGAGAAAAATACAGTTTCACCTCATTCGAGCAGAACAACACATTACTCAAATGCCTTTGGGAAAACTCCCAAAGATTTGTCTTTCTGCAGCTCATTCTTGACCTTTATGTTAAAGCTCTAACTGGTCTCAACATTTATTATTAGCTTGGAAAGAATATCATCAGAGTAGCTTTAGCAGTAGCATAATTTTTTGATGGCTTATTCAAACTTCTTTAAACAAGTTACTAGCAATCCTAATGTTTAATTCCAGCTAGTTTAGAAGAGCAATGCCTTAGCTTGCTGTCTTTTGAATGTGGAAGAAAAGCCCCATGTTTTCTTACTATGTTCTCCCTTAAATTGCTGATGCAGCAGTCCCAAAAAGCACCACCTTAATCAGAGGGTGTCACGCTTTGCATTCCTGATGAATAATGGAACCATTGAGTGGACTCAATTTTGTGAGACACCTACTACATTGTTTTTATTTTCAGTGCAGGGTGAATTGAGAAGTGCTTCTTCCACTCTGCCTGCAGCAGCGCACAGAAATCACTACTTTCAGAAATTTTTCAGGAAATCTAAAACCATTACATATTTATTAATTCTATATATTTTAAAATTTATAACAATAGTAACTACTAATAACTAGTAATATATTTATTTTAGTAATAATATTCATACTGCTTTATATATTAGTGTTTATATTAAAAATACATGTAATTTGCCACACGCATCGGTGCCCGCCTCATCCAAACAAACAGCACACACAACAGCAAACAAAACGTGGAGTTTTTAACCACCCTGAATTATAGTGAAAATGCTGCCCTTGACTACTGAAGTCCATGAGCCAGAGGCAATTACACTTCTTGGGGAACCCTGAGGGAATGGAGGAGTTCAGAACGTACCATTATGATCTAAGGTACGTAAACACATAAATACACAACTTCAAACCTGAGCGAGCTGACACTCCCAACTCCCCTGTGCTGCTCTCCATCCACTCAGTTGGCAGGAATTCTTAGCATTTCAGTTTTAGAACACAAATTTCAGTACTTCTTTTATAAGGTGCCATATGCATGTACGGAAAAGCTTTTAAAAGCTCTTACTTTACCGTGTGTTTGCATTAGGGCAACACAAAATCCTCCCCAGAAATCATGAATGGCCTTGTGCAGGGCACACGTACCTTTCTGCCTCCACGAGCTTAGAGTCCTGGAAACGCAGCAAATGAGCAGATTACAGTCCTCACTTAGTAGGCCAATGCTCCCGTTCTTTGGTGGCTTTTACTTTAGGGTAATGTTAACGTGGACTTGTGTCCGAAGGCCAGTTGGAGGAGTGTTTCTCTCTGAAACCTGCCAGACCCTTTGTACTTTTGAGTGTTTATTTTAAGAGCTTTCCTCTGCAGAAGAACAGCGTTGGACACAGCTAGAATTCTTATTTCCATCCACAAATGAGTGGTTCAGGGTGACACGGAGCAAGTGCTGTCATTTCACCGAAGTAGTTTTACACAGACAGTACCCACTGACAAGGCAGAAACTGCTCAGGGGTCAAACACCAAATAAGAACAGCAGTTCTGAAAGTGGTTTTATCCTACCCACGATATACAGATAATTTGGTTGAAGATTCTCTGCATTTTGCATTAACCAGCAGAATTCCCACAATACTGAGACATTAAATTAAAATATATAAAATAGCACGCAGAGCATGTCACCTTAGAAGTAAATTTTGTATTTTCACATATCAGATACGGAAAATACTTCTTGTTTTTAACTGATGACTCTAAACTTTTGCTTGACAGTTACTGTCTTTTATACCAATGTGGTAAGTGGGTCAAGTTATACAAATTCTCAGTACGTAAGATCTTGTGGTTCTAAAAGGCACTAAAAGTAAACCAGACCTGTAAAACACCCTCATTTAACATATAATTTCTCTCATATTAAGAATATACATTAAAAAATCTTCATTATTTTAGAGAAGTGTTCCTTTACAATTTCCTGATTTAACCCTCTGGCCTCTTTCACCTTTAAGAACTCTTCAGCTTGACAGACTGGATCCAGCTCTGGCTTTTAAGATACACTTTGCCATTTTGTGTGTCAGCCTTAATCCATTTGTCCGTTTCATTCTTCTGATTCATGTGGCCTGGAAAAGAGAGTTCCGTTGGTTTAATTTGACACACAGTGCACACACCATCTTCACGCTGCCTTCTCTGTCAAGCTCCCTGGAAATACTTAAGACTTTTATTTAGTAGAATTCGTATATATATATACATATATAAACAGGGGCTTCTGACATTTCATTCTTGATACAGTTCTGTGCATTAATCTCATTTCCCATAACACTGCTACTGTAAAGTTGTGGGTTTTATTCTACAGTAGCACAGGAGTTTATTATGGGCTAGGAAACAGGCCTATATTAGCCACTAATCTGGCTAAATAATTTGAAGAGTTTTTATCTTTACTGTAAACATGCAAGAGGGTAAAACCTGAATTTCCAGATGACCAGACATGTCACTTCTTTCTTATGATAATGAATTAAAAACAACACACCCTGAGATGTCTGTCTTCTTAAATATTTCACATAAACTTAGTATACACAGTCACGCATCGAAAAACTCACTGTATAACAGACAAAGGAAAAAGTTCAACTTACCCTCAACTTTACAGTTAAACTGAGTCCAAGAGAGCATAAGCAATCTTCCTTTATACAGAAGATTTATGACCAAATGGGGAATTACACTGGAATCTTTTAAGGCCCAAATCAGTGCCTGTATCACAAGCCCAACCTTCACCTTGGTTTATCTTCACACAGTATCTTTTATTGTTACTTTAGTGTTCGTGTGGCTGAGTTCTAAGTTTAGAACTAATTTGAGCCTGGAATAGCACGAGAGACGGCAGGGAAGCAGATTCTGAAGCAACTTTGCAAACATGCTCTGCTCTGACCTGTAACACAGCTGAAGTTAAGTTTTGGCCACGTCAAAACCGGTGGTGAAACTCCAACTGACATTGTTGCCTTGGTTTCCACAACTCAAGCCTACATGCCAGAACTCACAGGCGTTTCAGCGCCTCAGTCCTTCGGAGTGGGATGAATTGAAGGTTACGGGCCAAACCCACATCAGTTCGCTCGCGGGCTGCGGTACTGCTTAGAAGTACGGGATTCTCACAGGAGTCCAACGCTGATGGAGTTCTCCCACTGAATGAAGAGGTTTTGCAGTGTCCTTTGTTGTCTAACTACAACATCCCTTCAAGAACACCCATCTGCATATCCCAGTACAATTTCTGCACTCGGGATTGCTCCAGGCAGCCGCAATCACACTGTCTCAGTATCATTCATGCTGCAAGGCTGAATCCTCCCTGTCTGATTATGGACTTAAATCTACGATGACAATCACGAAGTTGGACAAATGTGTTGTACAAGAAATGTGTTAAAATCTGCAGCTTCAGTTCCTCAGAAAGCTTTCCTGAGTCATCGACTGGCAATAGTATTGTATCAAGAGAATACAGCTCAGAAGTTAAAAACCTACCCTTTAAGCAGAAGCAGCCCTGAAGACATTACATCAGTCTGAATTTTAAACAAGAAACAGCCTCCTAGTGTCACAAAAATGACTCAAAGAAGTGTAAAGGACAACTTCAGTCGATCCCTTAACAGCTGTAGAGCACTGCAAATACAGCTTTTTTTTTTCTCCTAAGGAGAGAGGACACAATAAACGTAGAGCAGAGAGATATTTCCAGAAAGGGCGTATTGGGGCACTTGGTCCCAGTTCCCCTCTCTCATGTTTTTGTCACTATGGCGTGTACTTCAGTACAAGGAACAAACTCTGAAGCACAGCATCAGCCCTGTAAATGACCAGTTTCAGGCACTGCTTTAGCAAGAGTTAGAGTTGTTGAAGAAACACAGAAACAAATTAAACGAGCTGTTTTAAAGCTCTGTTGTTGTCTGAGCTCTGTTTCTCATTCTGCATTGGCTAAGTGAACTTAGAAAAATGTTTTGTTCCTTATGCTTCTTTTGGAGCTCTGCCCGTGAAGGGACTGCAGAAAATACCAAACTGCCTGCAGGAATAGTGAGTGTCAAGTTCCACTCCCCAGGGATGAAGATCTTCAAACTATTTTAAGGTTACGAAGCCTATCACCAGTAGCAGATTCAAATCAAGCTGAAGATACTTAAACAGCTATGTGTATGAGGCGCTAGTCAAGCAACAAGGTTTAGCTGGAGACCTTTTGATGATAGTTTGGTCTTAACTGTACTCACTGTCTGTACTCTGAGTACTGTGGGAACATAAGTGGACTTTGAGGATGACTTTGCTAGCATGATTAAATCACAACAGCAAACAGCCTGCTAGGTTGAGAATAAGAGGAGGGGGAAGAAGGATTTCATTTCAAAACCCAACAGTCAAGACAACAGCATGAGCTCAGAAGGCAGATGCGCCAAATGCTGCGTGGCCACCATTTCAATTTAACACCCAGGGAAAAGGTGGTTTTCCTCCCCCATGTGTGCTGTCTAAACGCAGAGAACAGCTTCACAGAACTTCACACAGGCAAGTACTGACTGTTTATTCGCTTGCCTTCCTGGAGACTGGAGAGGTTAGAAAGCTCTATTTTCATATCATAAAACACATGAAGAGGAGTGTATTTTAAATGTTCACTGGTGGTGTATCTCAAAAACACTGTGAACAGTTTGAGTTAAATTGCAAGCTGAAACCAATAAAAAACTGTAGGATAGCATCTCATCTAATGTGTTTTAAAAAAGTTGGATGAACTTTCTATTTGACTTGAAGGAATGTAATCTTTTCCAGATACAACCTGGGTCTTTGTTTGTTTTTTTTTTAAGATACTGCTTAAGGATCAAGGCTTCATGGAGCGACTGTTTAGAGGGATATTGTAAAACAAAGCTCTTCCTACTCAATTCTCGGGGCAAAGAGTCAATAAAAATTGCTTCCAGGAAAGAAAGGAAGTTTTGAAGAAGTGCCTTGAGAACAGAGAAAACAGGGAGGGACACGGCAACAGATAGTGTTCCTCCTGGGATCAGAACCATAACTCTGGATGCACTAGCCCCAAGTCAGCTGCACAGTGGGAAGAAGGAGTGCTACACCCCGACAGCTGGGCAGCTTAACTTTCAGCA